CTCTAGGGGGGTCATGAGGCTGGCCTTGGAAGAGCCTTCCTTCCTCACAGTGAACCCCCCAGTCTCCACTGCTGCAGTGGCCGCATGACAAGAGTCCCCCATCCCCCTGTCAGGCCTTCTGGCCCTCCTACTCCTCTTAAAGAAAAACTTGCTTACAATACTTAAGGCACAGTAAGGCAAACTTTGTTCAGGTCTGTCCTGATAGGTGTAGGGACCATAGCAAAGGGATTTTGCAGAGGGGAGAGGGATCAGGAACAGTCTAGTTAGGTGGGATTTCAGCCAAGGAGAAGGGTGGGGTCAGTGGATGGACAGTGACTGAGAAGAGTCATTCGGGTGGGGGAATTCTGGTTAAACTGACCTCCCAGGATTCTTGCTGAAGGTAGGTCAGGGTGGTCACCTGGGGGCGGGGGCAGGATGAGGAACCTGATCAGATATGGGGGGGCAGGAGAGGGAGGCTCTGGTCAAATTGACTTATCAGGTTCTTTGCTAAACCTGGAGACATGGACGTTCACCCATGTCCCTAGCAGAAGGCTCAGGAGCCTGACTATAGTTTGGTCAAGCAGGGAATCTTTGTCAGAGGGCAGCCTCTCCCCTACCTGCCTCCATAGGCTTCAGGCCTCATCCAGGGGTCATCTTCTCCAGGAAGCCATCCCCTGACTCAAATCTGGCTGATGTTTCTTCCAGGGCTCACCTGGCTCACTGAGGCTTCCTGTGAGCAATGTGAAGGTAGCAAACATTTGTCACCTCTGTCCTGGCACAGAGCAGGCATTCTGCAAATGTCTCATGAATGAGAGAAGTGACATGAATCTCCAGACTTCTAGAGGCTGAGTAACCTTTATAGACACTGTGGGTCCATTGAGATTGCTGCCTGTGACAGTTTATGCCTGGAGGTTCCTCACTGGGGAGCGAAATGTGTCTCCCTCCAAAGGCTGTCAGCATGTCTGCATTGTTTGTGTGCACAGGGGAGGGGAGGTAAGGAGTTTGTGTGTGTGCATGCATGCGTGTATGCATGTATGTGCACCAGGAAGACCCCTCCCCCTTGCTAGCCTCTCTTTCAACGCCCACACATTCACGGCCCACACTTTCAGCCCTCCAGGACACTATCTCTAACACCCCAGGCATTTGAAGCAGCATCTGACTTTCCATCTGCTACCCAACCTCATCACTGCCTCTCCTACATGCAGATGTCCCCCAGGATGTGCTGCTGACGTGCAAAGTCACACAGTTCTAAAATAGAACCTTATCTCTCTTCCTGCCCCTTTGCCATCAGCAGCACCTTCACCCCCCTTCTCCTGAGACCCCCAGAAGTCTTGGCTTCTTCTGCATGCCACGCCTCCCACATTCCAGAGGACTGGGGTGACTTCCACACAGCCAGGAGAAACACCCTAAGTGTCCTGTGGACAGTTTGATCAGAACACTGCCTGTTACCACTTACTTGCTTATGCCCCAGAAGAAATAATGCCTGAAGAAACTGAAGCAACAGACAAAAACTAACCACAAGTAAAACCACAAGTGCAGATGGCCTTTGCTGCTGAGCACTGCCATACAATCCCAGAAAACAGTGATGCAGGTGCAGGGAAAGAGTATTCCATAGTAAGGAAGGAGTGAGTCAGTGCTTCTCTGCTGTTTTCTCCACCCCACACTCAGGTGAGACAGGAAGGCTAGAGGTGGCTAGAGTTGGATATATCTCTTTCCCCCAGTCAGTTAAGCTCTGATAAAAGTTTCTGTTGGGTGCAAATCTTGTAAAGAACAGAATACTCTTGCATGTTTCAAAATAGCCCTTGTGGAATTTTCCACATTCCCATGTTGGAAACATGTAGGGCTGTTTTTTGTTTGTTTGTTTGTTTTTCTCCACTGTGACAAGCCAGTGGGGGTTTCTGGAGGTAAAACTCATGAAAGTATGAGGCTTGCCCAAGACCTCAAGAGCTTTTAACTCTCAAGACTGTCTATATTAAAAACACTACCTGTTTTAGTTCACCCATCCCCCAGCTTTATTTTTCCCTTTTTTTCTCTTCCGGGAGCCAGACAACCCCTGGTTCTTGGAAGCCACTCTAGGAACACTGGTGCAACTGTCTGTCGCTGGGCTGTGTGGTCTGGGGATGAGTCGCCCTGATGGCACTAAAGCTGAAGTTGATCAAAATTAACATCAACTTACCTTTCCTTAGAAGCTGAGAAAGTCTTTGACTATACTTCAGAGTTCTAAAATACGTATATGTTCTAAGAATGTAGTTGTTGGGTATGGAATATAGGGGAAGAGAATGAAACTGGAAAGGAAGTTTATTATACTTACAGAGGGTCAGCACATGCCACATGGGGCCACAAGGGAAGCACAAGTGCCTCTCAGGAGGCAGAAGACAAGAGTAGGGAAAATCTAGCAGAGCCTCTATTGGAGTTTCCATGGAAAGGGAAGGGCAGGGCAAGCCAAGCAGAACTAACAGTTTAGGATAGGCTAGTTTGGATAATTTCTGCAGGCTTTGGAGCAGATGAGTGGTTGCTACTTGCCTAATACCTGGCTGCTATAGTTTGGATCTCATTATGGTTTGAATATGAAACATCCCTCATAGGCTTGTGTACTGAGTGTTTGAACCCCAAACAGTGGTGTGATCTTAGGGACCTAGCTAGAGGAAGCATGTCACAGAGGGCATGCTTTTGAACTTTCTACCTGGTCCCTTCCTCTCTCCTCTCTCTGCTTCCTGCCCACCATTAGGTCAACAGCTTCCTCCTCCTCCACATGCTCCTGCTGCCATGTTCAAACCCCAGTACCTGAAAAAAATAAGGAAGGCCATACCTATGATTCCTCCCTCTCCTGGCTTTATTTTTCCTTTTTTCTCCTTCTGGGAGCCAGACATTCAAGGCTTAGGACATTCAAATGCAACATGATAGATAGGAGAATTCAGAAAGTCACCGTAGCCGCAGTGAGACACAGGCTCAGAAAAGACCTGAGAAGACATAGGGACTGATCCTGGTATTAGAGACAACTGATAATCATTTAAAACACACACACACACACACACAGCAAACACGGGGAAAAAGGGAAACATGTGATTTCTAGTTTCCATATTGCAAGATTTAAATGTCCAGTTTTCAAGCAAAAAAAAAAAAAAGTCACAGGCATACAAACACACAGGAGAGTATGATCCATTTGAGGAAAAACAACCAACAGAAATTATTCCAGCCAGGTGAAATGGCTCACACTTGTAATCCGGAAGACTGAGATCAGGAGAATCAAGATTCAAAGCCAGCCTGGGCAAATAGTTCATGAGACTACATTCCCAAAATAACCAAAGCAAAATGGACTGGAGGTGTGGCTCAAGTGGTAGAGTGCCTGCTTTGCAAGTACAAGTTGGTATAATGGTGAGCATAACTGCCTTTCAAAGCCCTGAGTTCAAACCCCAGTCCCCCCAAAAACAAAAAAAACCCAGCCCTCCAAACAGTTCCCCAGCGCAGCTGTCCATATGAGTGCACATGACCTTACAGTGTTTTGCATCCATTAACAAAAGTAAATGCTTGCTGGGCACTGGTGGCTCACATCTGTAATCCTAGCTACTCAGGAGGCAGAGATCAGGAGGATCATGGTTCCAAACCAGCCCAGGCAAATAGTTCGAGAGATCATATCTCAAAAATACCCATCACAAAGAGGGCTAGCAGAGTGGCTCAAGGTAAAGGCCCTGAGTTCAAACACCAATACTTAAAAAAAAGGTAAATGCTAATGACCACCACCAGATATTAGCTTCTATTACAAAGCAGCACCCAGAACCAACTGCCATGTGCTCCACCTCACCCTCCCTTTAAGATGAATAACAAGACATGGATGCTCACTTTCACTACTTCTATTCAAGGAAGTGTTGGAAGTTCCAGCCAGAGTAATTAGGCAGAAAAAGAAATAAAAAGGCTTTCAAATTGGAAAAGCAGAAGTAAGATTATGTTTGCAGGGACATGCACAATGTTGAGTGAAGGCTCAGCATGATACAGTATTACTGGCTGAGTCAGGTTACCTTGTGTGAATCCCAGCTTTTGCTCACTAGCTGGGTGACCGCTCTTTGCCTCAGTTTCCTTATCTGTAAAATGGAAAATAATTCATGCTTCAGAGGGTTACCTGAGAAGTAGATGGATTAAGGTGTCAAGAATTCAGAAGAACTGGGCTCCAGTGGCTCAGGCCTATAATCCTAGCTACTTGGAAGGCTGAGATCAGGAGCATCGCGGTTCAAGGCCAGCTCAGGCAAATAGTTGTGGAGACCCCATCTCCAAAATAACTGGAGCAAAATGAACTGGAGGTATGGCTCAAGTGGTAGAGCACCTGCTTTGCAAACTCAAAGCCCTGAGTTCAAGCCCTAGTCCTACCAAAAACCAAAACAAAACAAAAACCACTCAAAAGAGTGGCAAGCGCACTGCAAGAGCTTTCATGTGTTGATATTTGATATCCGCTCCTTGGGGAAACAAGACCTGGATGTAAAGGAAACCGTTGTGAGAATTACAGCGCAGGGTGGAGTGGGAGGGAAGCTCCACAGGAAGGGACCTCTCCGCTCGGTTAGAAATCCTACAAATGAGTAGGCTTAGCAAGCACTACTAATACAGAGGCCAGGAGAACGTGGGAGCCTGGGGAGCCCTCGGCAGAGCAACCTCCCCTTTCGGTTTTACCGGCGGGTGCCTCCTTCCTTCTGACAGCATCCTCTCAACTTACGTTCCCTTTTGCTCGGGTAAGAAGGCGACTCGCAAGAACTGCGGGTACCCAGTGCAAGCCCAGACAACACCACCATGGCACGTGACTCATACGCATGCGCACGGGGGGTGCGGCCAATGTGCCGGCTCCGCCTCCGTTGTCCAGGAAACTGGAGGCGTGGCTCGCGCTGGCTCAGCATCCAGGGGCGCCCCACGCGTTGATTGGCGGGATGCGGCACCCGGTCATGGACTGAACGGAGCGGGCGATGATGGACGGGGCGGGAGCGCGGGGATTGGTGGAATCTGGGCGATGGGCGGGCCGAACGCGCGGGGATTGGCGGGATGCGGCGCGAGGCCAGGTGAGTGTGGTTCGGCCAACCTGGGTCTGCGTGGGGTTATGGGTCCAGCCCGGGGGGTAACCAGGACAGCGGGCTCGCGTCTCGGAGGACGTCCCGTGTTCCTGAGTGGGACTGAGCTGGGGAGGCCGGTCCCGGGTGGGTCCGACACCCTCCTCGGGCTGCGGGGGCACCGGATGGGCCGCTGCCACCATGGTGCGTGTTTGGCTGAAAGTTAATTCAGATTCGCCCTTTCGGTACAACCTGCGTCCCAGGCCAGAGGTGATCAGTAGAGATAGAGCACAAGCCTGCTACGGGTTTTAAACGATACAAGAAAAGTACAAAGAAACAGAAAGCTGTAATATGTTAGTAACCAGTATGTCCAAACTATTGTCACTTAAACTGCATATCTGGGAGGGGGGGAAGATAAAGGAGAATGATGGAGGGGTGAATTCAACTATGATATATTGTAAGAACTTTTGTAAATGTCACAGTGTGTCCCCAGTACAACAATAATGATTTTTAAAATAAACTGTATACGTATACATGAAGAATGTATTAAGATATTCCTTTTTTTGTGGGGGGGGGAGCGGTACTGGAGTTTGAACTTGGCCATGCATCAGCCCTTATTGAGATATTCTTTGTGATATTTTGGAAATCCGGTGTGCATCCTGCAGGTACATCTCAGGTGGACTCCGTATGGGAGGGACAGTGCAGTTGTAGGTGCTGGTAATACTTCCAGGAATAAAATAAAAACCCCAGCTCTCTTGGAGCTTATGGTGTAGGTGGAGAAGGCAGTCAAACTTAAAATACATAGTTTGTTGGAAGGCAAATGCTGTGAAAAAACAACGCTGGGCGCTAGTGGTTCACTATTGTCGTCCTAACTATTTGGGAGGCTAAATTCGGGAGGCCAGCCCAGGCAAATAGTTTGTGAGACCCCCATCTCCAAAATAACCCAAGCAAAATGGACTGCAGGTGTGGCTTGAGTGGTAAAGTGCCTGCCTTACAAGTGCAAAGTCCTGAGTTCAAACCCCAGTCCTACACACACACACATACAAAAAGGGAAAGCAGATACACCAGGAGAAGGTTGCGGTGTGGAGAAGGTGAGTTTTGAATAAAGATTTGAAGGAAATGAGCCAGTGACCATGAGCTGTATGGGAGACCACCAACTGGAGTAGAGAGGCCTGTGCTGGGGCCCTTACTGTGGAAGAGACAAGAGGAAGTGGAGTGAGAGACAGGTCTGAGGGATGAGCAGCTAGGGTGTGGGGCAAATCTCATAGGATCTGTAAGAATTTGGGGCTTTATTTAGTGAAATAGGGAAGCTTTGGAGAGTTTTGAGTAGAGCAATGACTGATTTATGGGGTTTTTTTTATTAGTAATTTTATTTATTTACTTATTTTGTGATACTGGGGTTTGAACTCAGGGCCTACACTTTGAGCCACTCCACCAGCACCCCCCCCCCATGGGGTCTTGCGAACTATTTGCCAGGCTGGCTTCGAACACTGATCGTCCTGATTTCTGCTCCTGAGTAGCTAGGATTACAGGAATGAGCCACCGGCACCTGGCTAGTTATTTATTATTTTTATTATATTATGGTAGGCTTGTTTAGTAAGAAGTCTGACTTCATTCCCACAGGTGGGACAGGGGTGAGGGGCCTGGATGGAGTCAGATCACGAATTCTATTTGGGACATGCTAAATTTGAGACATTGGTAGTTTTCTAAGTTGAAGCCTGAGTTTGGGGTTTGGAGGGAGCTCCAGGTGGGAGAAACACTCCCAGCTTTCCTTTTCTCCCTATCTGGAGTAGGGTTATGGGGTGAGCCATCTGTATCCAGGGCACTACGTCTGTTCCCCTTCTTTCCATTTGCCCTTTGGATACAGTGTGGGCAACTTAGTTGAGACACCAGGAGAGCTGCTGCCTTGGAATTGGGCAGAGGTGGCAGGAATGTCTTTGTGTCTTTACAGTGATCCTCCTTCCCCTGGGCACAGCTGTCTGGACAAAGCAAGCCAGGAGTGCAGCCATGTTTTCCGAGCAGGCAGCCCAGAGGGCCCATACTCTACTGTCCCCACCGTCAGCCAACAATGCCACATTCGCCCGGGTGCCCGTGACAACTTACACCAACTCCTCCCAGCCCTTCCGCCTGGGAGAGCGCAGCTTTAGCAGGCAGTACGCCCACATTTATGCCACCCGCCTCATCCAGATGAGACCCTTCCTGGTGAGCCGAGCCAGGCAGCACTGGGGTGAGTGAATTTGGGGTGTGCTTCCCATACCAGTCCAAAACTGAGAACCAGAACCTTTTTACCCAATTTCTTCTCAAGGTAATAACAAGGTAACGTTAACTTAAGTCATCTGTGGGCTTAAAGTTTGCTTTAGATTAGAGGCTGGTCCTGGTTCTGGCAGTGATGGTGACTATTTCCTTGGTGGAGGGAAATTATCCAACCATTTTCCCATACCATAGCTAGAGAACCCCTCAGTGTGGCAGGGCTGGCACCAGGTTGCTGGAGGCACACCTTGCAGTCATAAGGGACCCCCTCTGTTCATTGATGTCTACTTCTTCTGACCTGAATTTGGTGGCCATGAATCTTCTGTCCTTTGGGTGGGGGTTCTCTTTTTTTCTCTCCTAATATCCTAATAAAGTGACCTGGGAGCACAGCCCTTTTCTTTTCCCCATTTCTTCCTTGGTGATCATACCTGCAGTTAGGTTTTGCTGTGCTGGGTGGTGAGGCATCTCTCAACTTTGGGGTGGTACTGCTTGATCTCATTCTTGAGATTTGCACAAGTGGTTTTCTGTATAGTTTTCAAATCCATCTCCTGTTACGTTTTTAAACAGACCCTGCCTTACTCATTGTCCCTAGCACAGGGTTTGGTGGATCTCAGCCCTGGTTGCACATGGGAGCCACTGGCCTCAGGCCTGTGCTACCCAACCCTAAACCACTAAGCCACTAGGTCAACTCTTGGTTTATTTAAGCAGCAGGAGAACACTAGGCACAAAATCTCCTAGCTAAGACAGGAAATTTATTGGACATGGTTTCTGTTTTCTTTACCTCAGGCAAAGGTACAGTTTAGCTCTCCTCTGCCCCTTTTCCTCACTTTTTATCTATTTTTACTTTTTGGTGGTACTGGGGTTTGAACTCAGGGCTTCATGCTTGCTAGGCAGGTGCTCTACCACTTGAGCCATGCCCTCACCCTTTTTGCTTTTAGTTATTTTGGGGATAGAGTCTTGTGTTTTTACCCAGGTGATTCTCCTGTTTATGCTTCACTTCCCTCGAAGTTGGGAATGACAAGCATGTGCCATCATACCCAACTACTTTTTTGCCTGGAATCTCTGCCTCCTGTGTAGCTGGGATTATAAGTGTGAGCCACTGCGCCAGCTTCCTCACTTCTTTTAAGAAGGTACCCACCTGCTACCTGGGCCTGATGTCAGGACCACCTTTCCAGTGTCTTTATATCAGCACCACATTCTCTCCCAGTGACCACAGCTGCTCACAAAGCTCCCAGTGATGGGCAACAACCATTTTATTGGGCTCACAGACTGCTGTGAAGGATGGGATGATTGACAGCAGGTCACTTACAGGTTGTCACCCAGAACCCTACAGAAGGTTTCTCGGTGTAGCCTGGGCTTCCTTGCCAAAGCTCAGTGTGCCTCCAGAATTGCTTCCTGTACACGTTGAGCCTTCCTGATGTGGGTGTTTCCCTTTGACCAGCACACTTCTCCCTTGGCTGCTTGGACTTACAGTCTGCTAAAGTGGCATATCCTTTTGAGAGGTACTTGGCCCATCAAGGCCTTCTTCATGTTTCCTGCCTCAGCTTCCTGTTTGTCCTTGGACTTGTGTGTTATGGCATCTCTCTCCCTCCTGGAAGGGGCTTAGTGAGAGCCAAGGTTGGCCTTTGTGTATAGTTTTGATGTTGGTGCCAGTATTGCATAGGGGAAAGGTGTCCTGCTCTCCATTAATGGACATGTGTCCATCCAGTGCTCAAGGGTATATATTTGGATCCAAACTGTGTGACTCTCTGTATGTGTGGGGGGAGGTGTGGGAGTGGGTAATATCTACTCTTAGTGTGTCATCAGGGTTGGCTGAATTGCATGCACAGCACTTAGATGGAGTGACCTGGCAAGTCCTAGCCTGTTTTCTGTTACTGTAATGAAATACCTGGTGCTGAGTACTTCAGAAAAGAGGTTTATTTAGCTCATAGTCCTGAAGCTTCAGGTTTGCTCTGGTGAGGACCTCATGGCAAATGGCAAGTGTGTATGTAAGAGAGATCACATCACCAGACAAGCCAGAGAGTGATTCTGAAGTTAGGCTCGCTTGTATAACAGCTCAGGCTGATAAAGCTCAGGGTCGCATGAGAGCTACCTGCTCCCCTGTGAGCTAAGGACTTCCCACTGGGTCCCACCTCTGCAAGGCTGCGCCACGTCAACACCACCACACTGAGAATCGAGCCGCCAACACAGAAACCTTTAGGGGAGAGACCACTTCCTAACTATAGCAGAGCCCCACAGGTGGGGGGTTGGAATATGTTGTTTCTGGTGCCTGGAGTTTCTGGCCAATGCTGGTGCCCCTCCCCCACTTAGTCTTGTTTTGGATTATCTGTTTCCAGGGTGTAACTCTGAGGAATGTTCTCAGCTCTTCCAGGGCTGGGGGGGCTCTGGCAGCGCTGGGGTCAGCTGGGCTGAGGAGCTAGCCTGACCTCCACATTACTGTGTCTCCTCATAGGGTTTTCTCAGTGTGTGGTGTTTGTTCTGATGACCCCACAGGCCTTTGGGGACTTGCATTTCTTCCTCTCCACCCCTTTCCTCTTGAGCGAATGGGACATTCCCACATGTGATTTGCTCCCAGGATCCTGGGTGCTCTGGAGGAACTGGATTGCCTGACTCCACAGGGAACAGAATGGTTCTTGGGTATCAGTTGAGTATCTGTTTTCAGAGGATGAAGCATTTGGTGGGAACAGGGGCTGATGGAAGAATCCAAACTCTTAAAGAAACTTACAGTATTTTTAAGGAAGAGCTCTGTTGAGACTTGACCTCTTTCTCTTTCTAAGGATGAGTGTTATAATTTATATGTAAGTGAAGTAATGCTCTGTATCAGATTCCCATGGCTGCTGTGATAAAGAACTGCAACACTGGTCACCTTGAGACAACCAGCATTCTGTCACTGGTCAGTTCTGGCTGTGGCAGTGCTGGTCCTCCCCAGAGGCTCCAGAGGAGGGTCCTTTCTACCTCTCCCAGCTCCTAGTGGCTCCAGACAGTTCTGGGCTTGTGGCTGGCTACACATTTTCTCTGCCCCATCTTCATGACCCTCCTTGCCTCTGCCTCTTTTGAAGACATTTGGTCCTTTGTCCCCTGTGGGTGACCCCCCTTCACTGCCACACTGAGGCCCAGGAGTCCTTCACTGGGCACTTCATCCTGGCCAAGGTCTGAGGCTGCAGTACTCCTGTGAGGCTCTGAACGGCCCCTGTGGTAGAGCCTGGATGAGGCTGACCGGTCTGAGTCTGCACCCCTTGCGACAGGCAGTAGCGTCGGAGTGAAGAAGCTGTGTGAGCTGCAGCCTGAGGAGAAGTGCTGTGTGGTGGGCACCTTGTTCAAGGCCATGCCGCTGCAGCCCTCCATCCTGCGTGAGATCAGTGAGGAGGTGAGACCCGTCCTGGAGGACACTGATGTGCCACCCTCATCATCCCAGGGCATTAGGACTGGGCCTCTGCCCAGGGGAGTGAGGGAGCGGGTCCAGGCGGTGGAGGCTGCACCAGCTAACACAGGAGCTGGGGTGGCCTTGGTCCCAAAACTACCTCCCATGTCTGCCTTCCAGCACAACCTGCTTCCCCAGCCTCCTCGGTGCAAATACATCCACCCAGATGATGAGCTGGTCCTGGAGGATGAATTGCAGCGTATCAAACTGAAAGGCAACATTGATGTGTCAAAGTTGGTTACAGGTAGGAGCCCAGCAGCTATGATGGGAATCCTGAGATAGAGAGGCAGCCAGGATGTATATGGGGTCATAGGGAGCTCAGTGGAGGCCAGATGGTAGTGTGTGGACAACCTGTGTGTGAAGAGTTGGCACACTAGAGATTGTGGGGAAGTAGGTAAAGGTTCAAACTGGAGGAGGCCATTGATGGGTGAGGCCTGGCTTAACTGGGAGATTGCTCTCTCTGCCTCCACCCAAAGACAGGGACTCCAAGAAGCAGGCATCAGTCCCAGAGTCCTAAGCGAGAGTTCACTGGTATGGCCCAGGGGGACTGGCTGGTTAAGAGGTGGCAGTACCTGGCCGCCCTCCTGGACCTGATCTCGCTGTTCCCCAGGAACTGTCCTGGCTGTGCTTGGCTCCGTAAGAGATGATGGGAAGCTTCAGGTGGAGGACCACTGTTTTGCCGATCTTGCTGTACAGACGCCTGCACCCCCCATTGATACAGACAGGTGAGGAGCCTCATTCCGGGACCCCAGTGCTGGCTCGGGGAGGGCTGCCTCCCTCCTCAGCACCCTGTAGGACTCTGGCCTCTCTGCAGGTTTGTGCTGCTGGTGTCAGGGCTGGGCCTAGGTGGTGGCAATGGTGAAAGCCTGCTGGGTACCCAGCTGCTGGTGGACGTGGTGACAGGGCAGCTTGGAGACGAAGGGGAACAGTGCAGTGCTGCCCACGTCTCCCGGGTCATCCTTGCGGGCAACCTCCTCAGCCACAGCACCCAGAGCAGAGATTCTATCAACAAGGTATGCGGCCTGCTGGAGACTGGGCCTTCTGTGCTGCTGTCCCCACACGGCCCTGCTCCCTGAGGTTGCTGCCCAGTAGGGAGGGGAGGGCCTGTAGGATAATCCCACATCTACCTGCTGGTGAACTTTGCTTGGTTCTCAGTGCTGAGGACCTGGATAAGCTCAGGGTGGCTCTCTGAGCTGAGACCCACTTAAGGCCTGATGACCTCCTGGGCTTCCACTCCCAGGCCAAATACCTCACCAAGAAAACCCAGGCGGCCAGTGTGGAGGCAGTCAAAATGCTGGATGAGATCCTTCTGCAGCTCAGTGTGAGTGGCTAGGGGCTGGCAGGACGATGGAAGCTACTATTGGGTGGGCAAGTGGAAGCGGGAGGGCCAGAGGGGAGGTGGGAGCTTCCTCAGGGCCTGCAAGCTCTCCCTGACCTTTGTCCTCCAGGCCTCCGTGCCCGTGGATGTGATGCCAGGCGAATTTGATCCGACCAACTACACCCTCCCCCAGCAGCCCCTGCACCCCTGCATGTTCCCACTGGCCACTGCCTACTCCACACTCCAGCTGGTCACCAACCCCTACCAGGCCACCATTGATGGAGTCAGGTAGCCAGCGAGGCACAAGGAGAGGGGAAAGAATAAGTCTGGGAGTGGGCAGGGCTGCGGAAGTCCTTCCTGGCATGTCTTCCCTTCAGGATTGGCCTGGGATATCCCAATGAGGGCACCAGGTGGGCTGCAGGCTGGCTTCTGGGGGTGGAGCAGCATTGGTGACCCCAGGCCAAGGGTCAACAGAGCTTTGCTTTACAGGTTCCTGGGGACGTCAGGACAGAACGTGAGTGACATTTTCCGATACAGCAGCATGGAGGACCATTTAGAGATCCTAGAGTGGACCCTAAGGGTCGGTCACATCAGCCCCACAGCTCCTGACACCCTAGGTAATGGCTCAGCTACACTGGTGGGACCAGGGGGCTAGGCAGGTTCCTGCATGGGCATGCACTTGCAGTCCTGTCCGCCCTGACAAATGAGAAGCTTGTTGTGGAAGCCACTCTGGAATCTTAATTCTGTCGGTGGCTACACAAGTGTACTGGGAGCTTAGGCTGAGAATGGCACAGCACCTACCCCAAGGGCAGAGGCAGCTGGGTTCATCATTCTGCCCCTATGTGACAATGTGGCACTTTTGTTATGGGGCGGGGGCGGTGTCTTGCAGCTGGCTTTTAATGGGAGAGTGCTGGGATAGTGCTGTACATGCTGTCCAGGGTGGCTCTGTTGGGGGATGCCCAGCCCCAGGCATCCTGTGCAGAGGCCGGGATGCCCTGCTCAGCAACAGGCCCTTCTGCAGGCTGTTACCCCTTCTACAAAACTGATCCATTCATCTTTCTGGAGTGCCCTCACATCTACTTCTGTGGCAACACCCCCAGCTATGGCTCCAAAATCATCCGAGGTAAGTTTTGTTTTTTTGGGGACCCCAGGGGTGAGTTGTCAGGAGCAATTTGCTCTCTTAGGGATAAGGTCCTCATGGGATAAATCTCCTGGGGTCTGCCCAGGGGCTGTGGTGTTCTGACTGGGTGGGGTCTGAGGTGCTCTGAGCCACGTGCTTCTGTTGACACCACCCACTGTGGCTCCTGTTTACCTCTGGGGGCTTCCTTGGGGAACAGGCCCAGAACCTAAGGTGGGTCCCACATGGCTGCTTTGCAGGCCCTGAGGACCAGATGGTACTGTTGGTGGCCGTTCCCGACTTCAGTGCCACGCAGACTGCATGCTTGGTGAACCTGCGCAGCCTGGCCTGCCAACCCATCAGCTTTTCAGGCTTTGGAGCAGAGGACGATGACCTGGGAGGCCTGGGGTTGGGCTCCTGACTCAGGCAGCTGGAGCAGGCATTTGTCCCTGCCATGTGAGCCTTGTAAATAAAGCATGAATGTTTGCTGGGTCAGCCTCGAGCTCCTGCTCATACTTGGGATGGGACCCCATCAAGGTCTGCCTCCTCCCCTGAGCCCATCAGAACAGCAGTGGCCAGTGCCATGAGCTTGTTTTATTGGTGTGGCCTTGGCTTCCTCACCTGCCCCCTCTCTGAAGGCTGGCAGACAGAACAGGAGCCTCTGCTGACTCTGCTCTTGAGTCCTGGTTGCCTTCATGCCATCTGGAGGGCTCACCCCAGGGGACCTTCTTTGCGGCAACGGCTGTGTGACTGTGGGTACAAGCCTGGGAAATGCTGCTGAGCTGAGCTGGGCCAGGGCAATGGTGGAATTCTGGTCTCAGAAGTCCCCAAAGTTCACCGTGTAGGTCTCCACTGTCGTGAAGGGGAACGTGGGGCCAGTGGCCATTTCGTCCTCCTCCTCCACTTCCTCCTCCTCCTCGGGCTCCATCTCAGTCCCAAACTCTGTCACAAACTCTGTCACAATCTCTGTGTAGGTCTCGGTCTCCGATTCCTCCCAGCCTGTGATGGTTGTGGGCACAAGGCCCCAGGGCTCCGAGGTGGTGCTTGGAGTGGGGGCAGAGGTGGGGGGTGAGGTGAGGGCAGGGGAGGGACTTGTCGTAGAGCCCACTGTGGCATTGAGGCGCCTCAGCCGCTGCTGCTCGCGTAGCCTTAGCCGTTGCTGCAGGCGCCGCTGCTGCAGGCGCCGCTGCTGGGGCGTCATGGGGCGCGAAGGGTCCACGCGCAGGATGGGCCGGTTTCCATTCATGGCCAGAATCTCCCGGATGCGCTTCCAGTTGGAGCGAGCCAAGATGAAGTTGCACTGGGTGGCCCCAATGTCATAGTCCACATTGCAGGTCTTGGCACTGGAGGTGTAGCCCTCAGCGTGGGCTGTCACGCGGTACTCACCTGGGTTCAGGATGCGCCAGTAATCGCCACCACTTGCTGTTCAGGGAAGACAAGCCTGGTTGTCCGGGGGTCCTCCAGCTCTACCCTCGCTGTGATTCTCCCCAGGCCCACCCTCTCTGTCAGGGCCCAAAGCTTCAGGGACCTGCCGGGCAGGCCAGACTTGCCAAGACCACACAGATTTGACCCCTGTTGCTGCTGCTTCTTGGGAAAGATGAGGTGGGATGTGCACACAAGGTACCTGTCTTCACGCCATGGTTGATACCATTCACGGAGATGGTGGCATTGGCAATGGGGATGCCTTGCTCGTCTGTCACCACACCCTTGATGCCACGGTGCACCTGCAAGAGGAAGGTGAATGAGGGGACCACCCAGGGACCCATGTCCAGGGCCCTGCCCCAGGCATCACCTTCCACCCCACATGCAGCCCAAGCTGTCTACCTGCTCCATGAAGGTAAGCAGTGCCTCCTTGTTGTTCTCCCATTCCCGGGGCAGCTCGCTCTCATGGGGGAACTTGTCACAGCCCAGGTAGATAGACAGCTCCAGGCAGTTGGTGTGCAGGTAACTGAAGTCATTGATAGCTGGGCAGACGGAGACCCATGGTCATCCCCTCCCCAGGTCACGTGCCCCCCGTACCCCCCACACAGCCCTTCCCAGATTGACTCACTCCCTGATCGGGGGTTCCACTTGGCCCCATTGACAATGCCCATGCCGCTGGTGTAGTCTTGGGCCTGGCACCCTCCCCGGTACGGCTCGGTCATGGTGAGGTGGGCGGAGGCGAAGGAGATGGCTAGCCAGCGGAAGATGGCATGGTCTGGGGTCTCCTGAGCCTCAGATGCTTCCTCGTCGTCCTCTCCTCGGGCAGCTGCCATGGCTGCAGCCAACAGCTGCTCCTGGCTGGGTGTGCGGGCCATGTCGTAGGGGTACGACACGAGTCTCTCACCACCATTCAGATTTGCTCCCAGCACAAAGGGGTTCTTCTCCATCCAGGCGATGATGGCCCGCACCTCTGTGGACACCTAGGGGTGGTCGGCACAGGAGGTCAAGGCTCCCATGGTCACCTTGCCCCTCTCCGTCTGTAGAGCTTCACGCCACAAGTGCTGCACTCCCCTTGTCCTGTCCGTGTCCCTCTGACTCTTCCCCAGCCCCACAGTCTCAACACACACAACTCAGCCACCTGCCGAATCCCCCCCCAGCTCAGAACTCTAGGGCTCTCCTCACCGTGGCATCTGGGGACAGGTAGCGTTCAGGAATGGGCAGGTTATTGTTGGGGACCCGGTAAGGGACCCATTTCCTCTCCTCAGCTCCCCAGAGCACAGAGTTGAGATCCGGAAAGTCCTCAAAGATGTCAAAGCCCTCCTCGGTCCACAGCCCCAGGGCCCAGTTCCCAAACTCTGAGCCCTGCGGGGAGTGGGCAGAGTTAGCTTTGGCGGCACGTTCTCCTGACTCCACCGCTCCAGCCAGCCCCGCACCCACACCCACCATCTGTGCTGCCACTTCATAGCCATCGGGGTTCAGCGAGGGCACCAGGTGGATGCGGGTGTCCTGCACCAGGCTGCGCACACGCGGGTTCCCGTCACGGTACTCGCGACACAGGTACTGCATGAGCAGCAGCAGTAGCTCTCGGCCTAGAACCTCGTTGCCATGGATCCCAGCTGTGTAGCGGAACTCAGGCTCCCCTGCAAGGCCAGGAGCCACAGTAAGCACTCAGCCTTGTAAGGCCCAGGGTGCCTGTGGAAGGAGCCCCAAGGAGCTAGGGGGTGGCTGAGGCTTATATTCCCAGCAAGACAGACTTGGATCCCCAGGGGGTCTCTAGGAGCAGGCAGGAGGCAGTAAGCATCTAAACCTACTGTGCAGGCCCACCTGCAGTGCCAGGACCTACAGGTAACGCCAGGGCCTTGCCTCTCACTCACTGCAGGGGAGCCAAGCCCTGGCCCATGCAGCACAGGGCCCAGGCATCCAGGGCACTAGCAGAATGACACCCTTAGGGCCTCACCCAACTCGTGCTCCCCAGGGTTGTCTGAGATCTCCATGGCGTAGATCTTGAGCCCCCTAGAGCTTTTGCCCAGGCTGTATGTGCGGGTGATGGTGGGGCACTCCTCGTTCACCACCTTCATCAGCTGGTATGGTGAGGAGACGGCATCACATCACTGGCCATACCTCTCCAACTGCCCTGGATCTATGGGGAGAGACAGGCAACCCCACCCTCTCCCAGGTCCTCCAGGTCCTAGCCTCCTCCCTAAGTCAAGGGGCGGCTGGCCAATGTTCCTCCAAGAGAGACTGTACCCCTGCAAGTGGGGACTAGACCAGGCATAAGCCCCCTTGTCACCCCTGCACAGGGCCCATCCCAGCCTCCTAACCTGGCGCATGTCCTTGTAGCTGTGGTGCCGGAAGTCCAGGTCATCAGTGGCCACCACTTCATTCTGTGCATAGTAGCTGTGGACAGCTGCAGAGAGGCAGGCAGGGCCCTGAGCCAGCTGCCAGTCAACCTACCCCCAGGTCACCCCCAGCTGCCCCTAGGCACTCACGGGTCACTGGGCAGCCCAGCACCTCCAGACGCATGCACAGGCTGCCGTTCCAGGTGAGTGGGTATATGCGGATGAAGCGGGCCACCACTGGCTCCGGGAGCTCACTCAGCACAGGTGTGTCCTTGTCCACATTCCCGTGGAAGGTCTGGGGAGGGACAGGCCTCAGTGTAGCACCCCTCCCTGAGTTCACCCTGGCCCAGACAACGGAACACTCACCATTTCCTCATAGCCATTGGTGTACATCACCCATGTCTGGCTGTCATTGCTGAAGCCAATGAAGAAGGTGGTCACAAAGTCGTCACTGTGAAACAGGACAGGGACAAGGCTGTTCTCCTGCTCCAGGCCCATTTGTCCCCCTTTCTGGGCCAGCAAGGCTGTGGACCACGGCCTGGGTGTCATGAGCCAGGTCCTGTGCCTGTCTGTGGCCACAGGTGCTGGCTATTGCTGACCTTGTGTGACCATCTGAACATGGGGGCTGACTAGTCATGGCCTAGGGACAGGAACAGGTGCAGCATTAGCCTGGGGACTTTTAAAAATTTTTCTTTCATAGTACTGAGGATTGAACTAGGGGCCTCACACTTGCTAGGCAAGAACTCTACCACTTGAGCCATACCTGCAGTCCTTTTGTCTTCAGATACAGTCTAGAGCTAACTTTGCCCCAGCTGGCCTCGGGTCACAATCCTACCTCTGTCTCCCAAGTAGCTGGGACCACAGTGTGTGCCACTACACCCAGCTGTTTTTTGATATGGGATCTCCCTAACTTTTGCCTGGGCTGACCTCAAACCACAGTCTTCCTAGCTCTTCCTCCTAAGTGGCTGGGTGCACCATTGCACCCGCCCCTCACCCAGTGGATTTTTCTGGCCTTCCTGGGCCAGCTCAAGGGCTATCTAGAATGTCCAAAATGGAACTCAGTGCCATACTGGAGCCCCAGCAGACTACCCAATCACCCAGCCACATACTGGATGCTGGAGTCTCGGCCCTGGGTGATGACACCTGTGAACTGGGTCGTCCTCCTGGTGTCCACCTCGATCCACTGGGTCTGTGAATCATCCTCAGCACACCAGGCACCATCATAGTAGTCATCCTCGTTGGCACCAGCCTGTCAGATAGGGGACTGAGCATGGGCAGGGGAGCCCCTGAATGCTAGGGCCGGGCTGTTCACTCACCCACCTGCATGTTGAGCCGGCCACGCTGTGCTCCCAGGCCGTGGCGCAGCATGGAGGAGGCACGGATCTGGTTGTCCTCTATGCGGTGTGACTCCATCCCGATAGGCGGGCACTCTGAGGACGCGCACCCCAGGCTAGTGACTTGTGAGTCACTTGAGAGACCCCCTCTCTCCACCAACCCAGAGCCAAGGGGCTGACAGCCCACCCTCTCACATCAGGGGCACCGGTCAGAGAGCACCTATGTGGCTTGTTGCTCTGAAGACTGCAGACCCCACCCACCTCAAAGTGGATGCAGAACCAGGCCAGCAAGGGGCACTGCTGAAGTGGTAGAGTGCCTCCCTGCCTGCCTAGCAAGCAAGCACAAGGTCCTGAGTTCAAAACCCCAGTACCACCCCCCAAATAAAGAAGAACCAGGCCAGATGCTGCTCTTCCCCCAGTCTGCTTCCCCTTCCCAGGCCTTGGCTGCTCCATCTGGAAAACAGGCTGATGGTGCCTACCTATTAGGGATATAGAGCTCAGGATAAATCCCAGGTAGACCCACCCCAGGGCCCAGCCTACCACAAGCTACCCAGATGAGGCCATGTGTACACTGGCCCCACAGGGATGCCTGTGAAGATAGCTGAAGACCACTCCACACCCAAGGCGTGGATACACACACACACACACACACACACACACACACACACACACACACACACACACATCACCCCAGTTGCTAAGGGCCAAGAAGTCCTGCCTCTCTGAAGCAGATCAACCTCAGGCGAGAGCAAGGTGTAGCTAAACAAGAATGTCCTCAGATCTGGGACTCTCCCTTCTGTGCTGCAAGAATCCAATGGCTTCTGGCCCTAAAGTGCCATCAGGAAATCTGGGCTCCCAGGTGTGATCACTGTCCTGCACTCCCACCCTGCTGCACCCCCACACCCAGTCCTAGCCCCACTCACTGACTTTCTCCACCGGAGCCCACTCCTCCTCCAGCTCCTTGCCCTTCTGGGGCCCTGTCAACAATGAAGGGAGAGGTAGAGCCAACGCTTGAGGCAGCAAGAGTTCAGATGCCCCACAAGACTAGTCACACACCTTTGGGGTCCTTGCCCTTCTCCACAGCCCACTTGTCCTCCGTCTCCTCTTTGGGGCTATTGCCCTCCTTTTTGGGTTTCTCTGGAGGGTGCAAGGTGTGAGAGGTATATCAGCCCAGCCCTGAGCTTTTGGGGAGGGGCAGGCTGAGCTGGGATCTGTCGGGGATCGGGCTGAATTGGGGCACGTGGGGGTGGGGAGGTCTGGCAGGCAGAGGTGGCCTTAGGAGGAAGCCTACTGTAGGGTCTGGCTGGTTCCACATACTCAGTTCCTCCTTCTCTTCATCTGTCTCCTGTTCAGGGCCAGGCTTCTGTGGTGGAGGTGGTGGGAAGTAATAGTCCACTGCAGGGATAGAACTAAGTTTAAGTGGTCCTAATCCTGTGCTAGGGGCCTTGGCCCCCCAGGTTCACAGGAACACACAGGACAGGGCTGGGCTGGGCAGGAGAGGAGGGAGGTAGAGAGCTGGGGGACAGAAGAAGAGAGAGCTACTTCTGTGGGAAGTCAGATGGGAGAGGCAAGACCCTACTGAGGTCACCAACCTGGCCCCACAAGGTTTGGCCTGAGGAAAGGAGAAATCAAAGTTGGACAAAGACTGGCACCAGGGCAGGTGCCTAAGTGGCAGCTGGTGACTGTGACCAGGCCTTAAGATCTGAGCTGGGACCAAGGATTAGAGGGACCAAACCTGTGTAGGCCCATCATCCAGGAGGGAAGGAACCTAGGGTCCCACAGGGACCGGGGTAGGGAGGGTGGCAAGCTGCAAAAAGGTAGGTAGGGTAGGGCAGGAAAGAGACTAGAACACAGGACAGTAAGGACTGGGCCCAAATGGGGTAACAGGGCTGAGGGCAAAGCCTAGGGACACCCCCACTGGGGGCAAGAGCAAAGTCAGGAGCCAGGTAAGTAGGCAGGGAAAGTCCAGAGTCCTAACCACACTCCTGAGCCAGAGGTTTACTCTCCCGCCTCCCTTGGACTCTCACTACTCACTGTCTTCATAGTTGGGGATCACGTAGCCATCCCCATAGTCAGGAGGCAGCAGAGGCTTCAGAGGTGTCTCTGTGAAGGTGAGGAGGTACAGTGGGCCACAGCTTCTCCCCTGTGCCCCTTCCCACCCTGACTCCCATCTTACTGATCTCTTTCTCCTCTGGCTTCTCAGTCTTCTCCTCGGGGCGCTCTGGCCAGAACCTCCTCCTGCTGGGCGGAGGCCTGGGCTGCTTTTGGCGCCGGATGTACTCAACTGAGAGAAAGGAGAGCTCTGAGTAGCTGAGCTGGGACAGGGCCTCAGGTAGACCACCAGTGCCCAGGTCAGGGTCCGATCCACATCAGGACGGGCAGGGGTCTACTCACAGTCCTCATAGTCCTCCCTCTCTATCTGGTCGTTGTAGTCCAGGGTGGGCCCCTCTGTCTCTTCCTCTGGCTCTGAAGAGAAGATGCCAGTGGCCACCTGAAAACCCCACCCAGGTCCACTCTGAGAAGCCCCTCAGTCCAGCAAGCCAGGGCAGCTGAGACCAACAAGTTAATGGCCGCTCACCAGGCTGGTGCTCCCCGGCCTCCACATATGTCTCCTCTCCTTGACCCTGCCAGGTATTTGGAAGGGCACCCCCTGCAACAAAGAAGCCAAGAAGCAGGTGAACAGGGCCCTGACCTTACCCCCTTCAGTGCCTAAGGCCACCTGCTACCAAAGAGCCTCCTCAGACCCTGTGGACACCCTTCCAAGACCACAGCTCACTCCAAGTAGGCCCGTGCATTTTATTCTGCTGGCATGATCTGGGACTGGAGAGTCCGGCGGCCTTCTGGGAGACCTGCCACAAAGCTGCTGCCAGCAGAGGAAGGCAGGAGGGAGCCCTGTAAGCTCAGAGATGGGAGAGACCCCTAGCCACAACTGCCCAGTGCTGTCCTGCCCACTAAGGAAATTCATTGACCGCTCACCAAGTCCAGACAATACTGAGGCCCCAGAGCCTATCATGTCTGTAGGAAACAGGGTTCCAGGTTTCCACACTCACCCTCCCTGCCCACCAAAGAGGTCAGAACCCATATCCCCAGAGAAGGCTGACACAAACCTCCTTCCTGGGGTGGCTCCTCAGAACCAGAGTTGGGGGGCGGGAGCAGTGGCCACTCTGGGGTTTCTAAGGGGACTGGAGTGGAGTGCTTCTTCCCTGCCAGGGGCCTCTTCGTGGCTTTAGGTGGCTTCTCCTTGGGCTTTTTGGTGGCCTTGGGGGGCTTTTCCTTGGGTTTCTTGGTGGCCTTGGGGGGCTTCTCTTTGGGCTTTTTGGTGGCTTTGGGTGGCTTCTCCTTCCCCTTCTTGGGTGGCCTGGGGGACCCCTCCAGGGGCTGTTTGGTTGCCTTGGGGTCTTTGTCCTTCTTCCCTTTCTTCCCTTTGTCTTTGGCCTTTTCTGGAGGTGCTATCCAAGATGAAGATGTAAGTCAAATTAACAGAGGCCACGGGGTCACCGTGTGGCCCCTCAGGATGCGCACAACCTGAGCACAGGGGCTCTCATCAGTCCCCAGTACACACCAGAAACCTTAGGTTAAGCACTTGACCAAGTGGCAGAGCTGGAATCTGAATCTGAGCTTTCTATCTGTAAGTCCAGAGTTGCCAACATCACATCTCAGACTCTCTAAAGACTGAGATGCAACACCCAATTTCCAGGGAGCAGCTACTACCTGCCAAAATCTCAACAGGGCCCTTCACAATCCACTCCTTCACATGTCCACTTGCCAGTGATGAAGCTGGGCATGGAAGGCACAGAGAGGTGACTGAGCCATCCAGATTTAAAGGGCCATGGAAATTCCCACAAACAGCCATACAAATTAAAAGACATAGCCTGGATCCTTCCCGAGCCTCCCTGAAGGGACAAGAAAACCTCAAGAGACATTCAGTAGGCCCTGAAGCCCAAAAAAGAGGAAGCCATAAGAGGTCTGGAATGGGTTGAAAGCCAGAACCAATAGGGGATCTGGCCACCTGGGGGGGGGGGGGCACCCAGAGGACAAAGGACTAAGCACAGAGCTTGTAGCTGCTGGCTTATCTCAGGGAGTCCAGGAGCAGGGACTCCAGGTGGGGCTGCCCCCATGGGAATCCTCTCAGGACCCTAAGCAGGGGCTGCAAATGCAGTTGAGAAGTTCATGGTGGATGGAGGACACGAGGCAGTTTGGCTGAAACCCAGGAAGAGTTACAAAACACAAGCAGGAGAAATGGGGCTCTTACAGCCATATCCAAGAGCCCTTGACAGCTGGAGGCAAGAGGGTGGCAGGATGTGAGGTGTGGGGGAAGAGCCAGGAAAGACTTACAACTGGGGCTGCAGGGGGCCTGGAAGGAATAGCTGCTGACCTCACGAATGATGAACGGTACCTTAGTGTCTCTTGGAAGAGAGATCACAAGATTCTTTGCCACCCTCCAGAGGGCCACAATAAACAGCCAAGATTTATAGACAACTGATTGCGTAAGAGGCCCCGGGTTACATGCCTTGGTGATGCATCATCTCATCTAACTCCAACTAACCCCAGACTACCCACTGCCCACTTCCACCTGGAAGCCTTGGGGGGCAGAGGTCTTCTGCAGCTGCCTCCCCTGTCAGTAAGCTCCTGAAGCAGAGACCAAAAGCAGGAGGCTTAGATAGGCCACAAACAGGCTGAGAGCCCAAGTGGATGCCAGGGTGGTAACAGCACAGACACGCTGTGGCCCAAGCCTGGACCCTGTTGGGATTTGGGGGTCTGGGGATGAGTCACTAGGACATGTAGATCCACAGCCTCTAAAAGCTGCATGCTGCTCAGTACTGGATGTGCCTCCAAGTCCCCAGGCTCTGTGCCAGCACTGCCCTTGCCTGGTACCATGTCCTGCCAGGCGCGGTTTTGTTGAAGAACCACTGCTCATCCTGGGCAGCCTGGGGAGGGGCCAGGCCCTCAGAAATTCTCCATGCTCACCTGAGGTGTCAGCTCCCACCTGTGTTAGCCTCACCACACCACAGGTCGTCCCTGACTTGGGACAGGACACTCACCTTCGGCCGTCCCCGGCTTGCTCCCTGCCTGGGTTTTGCGAGCACGTCGGGTGGGCTCGGGAGGCGGCAGGGCCTCCACGTCGTCCTCCTCGGGCTCGGGCTCCAGCTCGGACAGGAAGCCTTCGAGGAACTCCTCGATCTCGTCGTCAGTCAACACAGTCTGTGGGCGCCCCCCGGGGCACAGAGCCAGCAGCGCCAGGAGACAGCCGAGCAGGGGCGCAGTGCGCACGGCCGCCATGGCCCCAGCACTGGTGGGGCTCTAGCAGGGACGTGGGGGGTGCCGAGGCTCTGGACAGGGGTGAAGGGGGGTTCCAGGAAGAGGACGGAGTTGGGGGGGGCTCTGGGACGGGGCGTAGGAGGAGTGTCAGGGAAGGACGCGGGGAGGGGGAGACTGGGGAGGGAAGTAGGGCAAAGGAATCCAGAAAGTGGTGGGAGAGGGAAATCCTGGGTGGGCGAGGGGATCAGGGGAGAGGTTCGGGGAGAATTCGGGGATGGTGGAGCTCAGACGCTGGTGGGTGGCTCCAAGGCGCTGGCGGCAACTGGGCGCTCCTGCCCCGCGTGGCGAGCTCCCGCGCGCACCGCCTTCCAAAGTGCAAGCGGCCGCCGGGGCGGGGGCATGGGGCTTCCGGAGCCGGCTTCCTCCCCTCAAGCCGGGCAGGAGAAGGAGGAGGAGCTCGGCTGGAAATGAGGGGCTGCGGGAGGGGGCGGGAGGGGGCGGGAGGGGGGTGGGCGGGGCAGGCCCGGCGCTTGGCACTCCCCAAAGCGCGGAGTGCAAGCTGTGTCCGCACGCCCAGGTCAGGGGCTCTGAGGCCGGGGCGACTTGGGGGGAGTGGGGGAAGGATCTGAGGAAGGGAAGCAGGGTTGGAGAGTCTGAAAAAGCTTATGCTTCTGTCCCGTTGAACCTTCAGCACGCCCCAAGCCTTTGATCTCATCTAGGGCAATCAGGAACTCAGGGTGATGAAGATGTTGGCCACCCCATCCTTCCCACTCTCTGGCCTGGTCGCTTTTCAATCAGTCACCTGCTGCACCCTGGTGTCAGTCATCAGCCAACCTCCGTGCAGGACCAACCGCTGTGCTTGGCAAGAAAGACAACACTGTAGGAATTCACTTTCTAGCAGAAGGCGGTACAAAACCCTCTCAAAGAGGCCCAAGTGCTATACTGGGCGTAGGAGTCCCACATACGGGCATGCCATCATCCCATCTCAACATGAACAACAACAACAACGAAAAAATCAACCAACCAAACAAAAAAAAACACTCAAACTTTACAATTACTCTTGCTACCACATGCCCCCAGGGGGCACAAGACTAGGCTCAGAGCATTCCAGGATCCATTAATGATGTCCATTATGGTGCCAGCCCAGGGAGATTCACTCATGTGACCCTTCTAGGGGGTCAAATGTTGACCCCAAGTGTCCATCAAAGCTAATTTCAGAGTTCCCAGACTATTCACCCTTGAAGAAATGAGAAACCAAGAGAAAACACACTTGTAGCCATAGGTCAAGGTCAGCAGCAGTCAGTCCCAAACCAAGGTTGTCTGTAAGGGATTGACCTGGTGATGAAGCAGAATAGGAGCACTGGAACGATTGACAGGGTAGAGTTTGAATGTCTGCTGGAAAGAAAAGAAGAAAAGCAAGTCAGGAAGCACCCAGGCTAGGACTCCAACCCACCCTGGGCCACTGTTGGCAGGTGGCAGCCAGGAAGGCCCAGTGGAGTACCTGCACTGGCTTTCCTTAAGGAAACGGGCTGGGCTGGGGGCATGGTTCAAGTGGTAGAGTGCCTGCCTAGCAAGTGCAAAGCCCTGAGTTCAAACCCCAGTACCACCAAAAAAATGGGGGGAGGCAGGGGAACTAAGTCAAGAGCTGGTCCCTGGTGGTCTTTCCTGGTTCTGCCCCTCTTGGCCATCTGATCTCAGGAAGTAACCTCAGTGCCCACCACTTACTAGATGTAGACTAACAGGATCATGTGTGTGCAAGGCCTAGCACATGTATTCAGTCCTCGAAACCCTCTGGGTCTTGGCTCTCACCATTTCCCCTGGAGACCAACCTGGGCCCAACCAGGCTCTCCAAGCAACCCCCCACAGCCAGAGGTGGCCTCAACCCAGTCCTAGTAGCAAGGGTGAAGCAAGTCTTACCCACCACTGTCCCCTGCAAACCTGTGAATCATCATACTTAGAACTGGTTCTAGGAATTTGTTCTGCTGCCCCCAGTCTAGTCATGCCAGAGGCCCGAGGCTGGCCGAGGGGCTATGAGACGTCACTTCCCTGGGAACAGCTCATACATGAATTGGATTTGGGCCCAACATCCTCTGCCAGGGAAAATAGAAGCCATTTAGAAAACATAAAAAAGGCTAGAAAGACTTCTCCTCAGTCACAGTGAGTCACCAACAGGGACCTGAGCAAAAGCCCTTAAGGGGATCTGGACCCAGGAGGACCGGGGGCTGGGAGCCTTCATCTCTGAGGGTCTGGGCAGATGGAGAGGGCAACTGCTCTCCATGCCAGGCTGGTGCTCCTTCCCTTGGGACCCCCTAGCTCAGTGAGGAAGTTGTGGAAGTTGTTCTGTCCTAGTCCAGGACTCTGCCTGGATCAGGAGACAACCACATGACCAGTGAGGGGGCCCCTTTCCTCTGCTGAGGATCGCAGTTAGCTAAGTCAGGCTCCTCAAGGGCATAGCCAAGGTCAGTCAAGGAAGTTGGAGGCGTGGTATCTGTGGCTAAGAGCACTCAAGGGCTTCAGGGTCCCAGCCCCGCCACTGGCCAGGATGCTAACCTGCCCTGGCTAGACACCCTGGCAGCCCCTACCCCACCTTCTCTCTCCAGATTCCAGGGTCTATCCACCCCACAACAGGACTGAACTGGTCCGAGAGAGAAAAGGTGATCCTCTCCTCATTGTTGCAGAGTAGTTAGGGGAGTTATTTGAAAAGCGGAGGCCGGAGGCTAACGGGATGGGCAGGGAGAGAAGTGATGTGGACTGCTTGGTGTGTACTTCATAATTCATCCGCCACTCAGGGTCACTGAGGAAGACCCCTGCTGGGAGGGCTGCTGCTAGTGGGAAGCCAAGAGAGAGACCCCAGGAGAGAGAGAGATGGAGGTTGGGTCAGGGGCAAGGATGCCAGGAGTAGTGGTGCCCTGTAGAGCCTCTGTAGGCACCCAGGTGGAGGACAGGATCTGGAGGTACAGCTGCCTTTGGGGGAAACTGATGCCTGTTCACCACTTGCAGTCACACCTCTTTCCTCGGGAGGAAGGGTGCCCACCATCTTCCCACAGGTGGCCAATCTTGGGGTCAAGCTCTTGGAGAGTGGGAATTGGAGATGTTGTCCACAGGATGATTTAAACTGAGTATGGTGGCACATGTCCGTGATCCCAGCATTCCTGAGGCTAAGGCAGGAGAATCATAGTTCCAGGGCAGCCTGGGCTGCATAGTGAGACCTTTTCTAAATAAACAAATAAGCTGAACTTGGCCAGTTAATGCTGATGGATGCTGAGCCAAGGGCAGGAGGGAGGGGCCAGAGTGGGACTGGGAGAGTAAGGCAGTTTCTGCTTTCTCTCTTGTCTACAGCAGGGAACAGGCTTGGTTCCCTTGGCTATGAGGGTGGGTTGGTGAACACTGGTAGAAAGTGTCTGCTCATTGCACCAAAATCTTACCTTCAAGCCAGGTTCTAGTCAGTGTCACCGTGGCAGGTATTGTTCAGGCCACAAGGCAATGCTGGCTTGTCCTTAGAAGGCAAGAGGGTTAGTCCTATCCCTACTTGCTGGCGAACTTACTGTCTCCTGTCTCTGGACATGTGGACACCTTATCCACATGGTGGCTACAAAGCTTCCTTCTGCCCTCACTTATTCTGCATGCCCAGGAACAGCTGTGGCTCCTCAATGAGGACAATGAGTCCTTCATGGCCTTGGTCTTCTGGCCTCAAGCTGGTGGGAGCTATGTGCTCTGGTACCCTCTCAGGGAACTGGGTGAGTCTCCAGGTCTCAATAGAAATCCAGCCAACACACTCTGTGCCCTGATGCACATCTCAGCTTCCCAAGTCTGGGAAAAGACACCCCCGTCTTGATAGAACCCACAGGGCCATTTCAGCAGGGGACTGATGAAATGTCACGTGCTTCCTGTCTCCAAGGCTGCGTGCACAGGCTTTTGGGATGGGCAGGACAGAACACCATCCCTCAACCATCCAGACCCAGCCTGCATGCCCTCCGTATAAGCCCAGCTGCCTCTGCATTCCAAGGCAACATGTACCCACCTCAGCGTGTGTGCGTTTGTGCGTGTGCGTGCACCTGTCTGTGGTTCCCTCAGCAGTATCTACAGAGCTGTCAACAAGGTGTCAGCCCAAGCATGGCTCAGAGGTCCCACCATCCCAGGTGTGACCATCCTCTGGAAAGCTGAGGCTGGAGGGGCTCTGGGCACAGGAAGTCAGCAACCGGAACCCCACGTATAAGTGGATTCTTTGGGGAAAGAGAAAGGGAAGCCCTTGTTGGGCAGACTCTGCCCCCAGACCCTGAAGGGCACCTCAATGGAACCCTGAATTTGTGCTTGAAGCCCAGCAAGGGTTATGAATTCAGGTCACAGTATGAAAGTTGCAGAGAATGGACTAGCTAAGCACTCTGTGGCTGAGCTGAACTCTCCTTTCACATGGGCTCCGTCACCTCTGGCCATCAGGTGACAGGGCCACGGAAGCTCCAGTGGGGAGGGCAGGCCAGCCTGAGGCCTATGCTGAAACATCTGAGCACCACATGAGCTGTGCTGTGTCCTCAGCCTGGCCAGAGATCAAAACTCACCAGCCAGCAGTCTCCAGCAGCCCTGAGCTCTAGCTGGTGGCGAGGGGGTGGGGGTGAGGTGACAGGACACAGGGACAGTAGGCTGCCAGAGCTAGGGAGCCCAGGAACAGACAGGCAGACAGGCCCTCCCAACCTGAGCCCGAGCCTCCTCTGGCTTAGACAGGGAAGGTGGGGTTCCGGGAGAAGTGAAGTCATGTGGACTAATGGCTCAACAGCCCTTTCTGTATGAATTTGGTCCACAGTTAACCATCCAGCACCAGTGTGGGCATGGGGGTAGGGTGGGTGGGTGGACACTAAATAGAAAGTTCAAGAAGCCTGGCCTTGGCAAGCAGGTTCCTGAGAACCCAGACTCTTTTCCTTCTGCAGAGTAGGTCTGCCCAAGGACCAAAGGAGAAGGGACCAGGCCTTGTTCCTTCCCTGAGGGAGGCCCCTAGAGACACCCCTCCTTTGTAATCCTCATGCCTGGATGTCACTCAGTGGGGTTAGCTGCATGAGCTACAAGGGGGGTGGTTCCCTGAGCTATGGAGACCTAGGGTCTTCCAGACAGTGTCTAGCCATCCTCACAACTGGCAGAACAATTTCCAACAACTTGAAAACCACATGTCTTT